TTTTGCATGGAAGTTTGGCGTTTTATATTGTAGGCCTGTAATTTTTAGGAATAGCTCACTGAAATCTGTCCAAACAAGAGTCTAATAAACATTCCGGGTAGGATAAAACTTGAAACACGAAATCATAAATTATAATTTAATAAATAATCATAAAAAATAATAATATAATAATAATAAATGTAATTCAATAATATAATCAAACCAAAAACACTGAAATTTGAAATAGCAGTTCAAGTTCGCACATCGCTGAGCAAAGTTGCAGAATCGTTTTCAGTGTCTGATGACGAATTTCCCCACAAATCATTATCACTCAATTCTGCAAGTGGTTCTGATTTACTATCGCTGTTCTCTAGCTGGTCTAAAACCGCTTTTGACCTAAAGCAACGCTTTTTGGACGCCATGGACATTTCGAAGTTTCCAGGCAGAAAGAACAGTCAAAATGCAGGCAGGGCACAGGACAAAGCAGTAGGGACAAAATGTATGTGAAATGCTTTGAAACAGTAATGTTTTACTATGTCATATTTGTTTATTAGAAAATGACAGTTTCTAGAATGTTTAAATTTGCCGCCGGTTCCGCCCCCGTACGTCCCGACGCTCGCAGGGACGGAACACGGAAGCTGGATGCCGGCATCGGCCGGAGGAGATGTCGGGGACTCTGCAGGGGAAGCATCGCGGGGAGCGAAGGACAAGGTAAGTGCTGCAGGTAAGCCCGAGTGTAGCTCGGGGATACCACTTTTGGTACTGAAATTTTAGATCGAGCTACACTCGGGAATACCGCCAGGGAGGTTAATGATTAGTAGCCAGAGTGTCTGCTTAACCTGAATTTTGTACACAATTTTTCATTTTAAGAATGTTTGTGCAATTTTTGTTAGTGGGGTCAAAACTATAGTGACGAGAAAACTCAAAGGAACAGGATGGACAATTTTCTTGGTTGAACACATTTCTAACAGTGAATGTGGTTTTCCTTCAGGAAATTTATATTTGTTCCAAAATTTTGATGTTGTAAGCAAATTCAATTTTGAAGTATTTTCAAATGATATTTGTCTGGTCATTGAATGCACACAAATATTCATGCAAACTTTTGTTCAAAAATCTACTTGAGTATAGCAGCTTAAAAATAAAACTGTATGTCAAATCTGTTTTAAGAGGGGTGAAAAATGAAATTTGCATACTAATAGTCATTCTACTGGAGGATATACAAATGTCTAAGCTTTTTACAAGGCTCTCTACTGCAGCTTATTCATTAAAGCTGAAGAAAAGAGAATAAGCATAAAAGTGTACTTGTTGCCAATAGTGACTAATTGGTATTCATTTTATATTCCTTGAGGTGAAAAATGAAACCTGATTACTTGCTGCTGGCAACAACTCTACTTTTTGTTCTCATATTCTTTTCTCCAGTTTAATAAATTAATCCTGATATATTGCATTATTGCTGTATTTGTTTTACTGTATGCACTTATCACTGGAAACGTGTACTTATTATGTCTTTTAAGCTGGCCATACTTGGATTGAAATTTGACCAGTTCAGCAGGGACCGGACGAATTTTGATCCATGTATGGGCAGGAAGATTGTACAGAAGTTGATCTACCGATCGACTTCTGTACAACTGCCCTGTCGGATTTTCTCCGTTTTATCAGTGCCGTCGGCTATAGCCAGCAGCGCTGAATAGTGTAGTCTGATGGCCGGTTAGTCTTCCCCACTGTCAGCATGTAATAGCTCAGTGGGGAGGATTCCCCCATTCACATAGTGTGTGGATGGGGGAATTAATTTAGTTTATCCCTCTGGTTGAAAAAATTACTCATCTATGGGGTGCCTTACTCACCCCTGTTTTGTATTACTTTGTACAACACCATGGGAGTTGATGGTGGAATATAAATCATAATAATTAGATGTACACTATTTAAATGATAAATTCTGATAAATTAGCTGCAGAATAAATATTTGTAAATTACATGTTCACCTCTACTAAGAGTGTACAGACAGCCTAATGGTTAAATTAGAACCTTGTAGAGCCTTTGGGTTCAAAACATGCCTGAGATTTCGATGCTAGGCCATTTTTAATGCTGTGAATTATGGAGAATAGCTAATGGAAAATGTGAAAATGGCCTAAAAATCCAACACTTTACTACCAAGGGCTCTATCAACAAAATAGATGTCCGTTTAGAAACATTTCTTCAAAGATTTAGTGACAAGACAGCAATGAAACCTGTTAGGACTTTATGGTTAAATTTATCAGATTGTAGCTCAACACTTATTTAATTGATTTTTTACATGCAGCATTTAGCAGTGTTTGTCTCCCCAGATGCCCCTGTCCTACTGGCAGAGCTACGTCCTGGTAGAGAGCAGCTGTATGATTGGAAGTCCAGCTGTGAGACGTGGAGCGTTGCCTTCTCTCCTGATGGCTTCTGGTTTGCATGGTCTCAAGGACATGGCATCGTTAAACTCATCCCTTGGCCACTGGAAGAAGAACAGATGTAAGAAAGTTGAGTGTTTTTAATGCTAATATCAAAATTATAGGTTCTTTGGCATACATATACACACAGTCTTTTCAAAAACATTTTTTTTATTGTCCATTGAGCGACTTAGGAATTCTTTAAAAGTTACGCAATCCCCCACATAATCCCATCATTCAAATGTCATAGGGAGTTGGATGCCTTTTCTTTAGCGTTGCTAAAAAAAAAAAAGTCCACCTATATTTTAATAGCCTTCTTTTTTCATTTTTTTTTTTCACTGTTTCTTCAATCATGGCACACCATTCATTATTTGTTTTCTCTGGTGGCTTCAGTCCAGGCCAGTCTCTATACAGCAGCTGTTCAGATCAATGTATTGTCAGCTTTAGAGACCATACCCAAACCCCGCTGGATTAGAAGATTGTGGTACTGGACAGAAGGTGACTTTTGAACATGGAACTCTGCATTGTGGTGCTTTCCAGACCTTTGTGTACTGTGGTAGCTGCAGAGCACTGTCCAGGTTCAGAGATGTGGCACAGCCTCTGGTGTTAAAGTCTCTTAAGACTTGGTTGAGTAAAGTTGGATAGGCTGAAGCATCTGCACTTTTACAATTTCCTTCAATTAAATAGTTTTTGGAGCTCCATTTGTAGCCCTTTGGCAGATTGATGCATTTTGGGGCATTTTGAGTCCCATAGAATAGCATTGGTGTGTCCAAAAATGCACAGAACCTGCATTTTGTTGCACGTTTTTAAGCGGATTCGTCCACACAGCAACAAGCGATGTCACAGATGGTACTGTTCTCTATAATCTAATACAAATATGTCTGAAGCTCATATGTTGTAACAAAACATGCATAAACGCATGACAAAACTCACGCAAAAACGTGACGCTCAGATGTAAGTGTAGCCTTGGTTTAAGGCTAAGGGACTCAATCACTGATGTCATCAGTTGGGTGGATCATTGTTCACATGCACTCTGCTCCCTTCCTCCTGCCATTGAGCCTAGAGGAAGCATTGTTCCACTGCTGTGCCTGCTTCGTTCCACTGCCTATCTGCAATGACTTGGTCATCTCCTGCCCCTTGTGACAGTCATCACCACCAGCTGCTTGAGTTTGTGATTATGCAAGGCTTTGTACTACTTTGTGTCAGTTGTTTTCCACTATGTGGTGTAACATGCCTTTTCAAAGACACACTGAGGACAACTGACTGCAACAGATGTCCACAATCCCTCATTGATTATAGGGGAAATTTCTTGGTATACCAACATGGAACGGGTGACTGTGAACTTGAGCTTGAATTTACTATTACTATATGGTTGTGCTCAGGGCTTTTTTCTCAGAGAATAGGTGCAGGAACTCTCCCCTTTCTGAGTCACCCCTAGTCTCTGCCTCTACCTACCTCTGAGCACCATTGCTTGGTTCCAACCCCCACCCACCTCCCAGTACTGTCCCTTTTGCTGTCATGTTTGCTGTTAATCATAAGGGGAGTGGACCTGATGTGGAACAAATGTCTGTGAATCCTCATCAGGCGCAACCCTTCCAGCTTCAAAAATCCCTACTGCTGCTTTGTCTGTGTGACAGCTTCTTTGGAGCGGAGGAGTGACAGAGTGTCCGTATAGACACTGATTTCATTGCACCTCCTCATGCGGTGCATGCCCCAGATTCAAGTACCTGTCTATAACAGGTACATGAATCTGTTGTCTGCACCAACATTTTTGTGTGGAGGCATGTCAAAATTCTAGAGAGTGTCTTAGACACTCCATTTCTTTCTTGGTGACCATGCTGTTTGTTGGTCTGATTACAGGTGCATGAATCTGTTGTCTGCACCAACATTTTTGTGTGGAGGCATGTCGAAATTCTAGAGAGTGTTTTAGACACTCTCTGTTTTTTTTCTTGGTGACCATGCTGTTTGTTGGTCTGATCACCCTTCATTGGGGTAGTGTGTTCCACCAGTTTTTTGCTACATGGTAATTGGTCCTCCACTTCACTGATTGAGGCCCATAACTCCTTCAGGTAGCAGTTTCCCCTTAGCGATCATTATCTTTCCTAGTTTGGGGCATCAGATTGATCTCATAGCCTTGATTTAGGCATAGATTCCTTCAGATTCCTTTTGTACCATGATCTCCACATTTCTTGGATCTCTCAGTGGCTGTTGCCCACCCCCTCAGTTCTACCTTTGGATGTCCTGACTGTGTAAGAATTCCCACATTCCTGTGTCCTGCAATGGGCAATAAGATTTTTGTACTTACTGTAAAATCTTTTTCTAGAAATCCATTGAGAGACAGACTCTTGTACTTCTTGCTCATAAAACTGATCATTGACGGAGGGGTTACACGAGGGCTTGCTTTTTGTTGTTTTGTTTGCCAGTGTCCCAGCCTCCTGTAGGAAGCAGTATAATGTGACTGTTTAAGAATTCACGTGTCTCTCACTGGATTGCAAGAAAAAGATTTTGTGCTAAGTACAAAAAACTTGTTTTAATGTTTAGATGGAATGCTTGTTAGGAGCAGTGCTATTTTCATTCAGTTACTGGAAAACCTTTTATTTTGCCAGACGAGCACCATCCTACAGGACGAAAAGTCAATGCTACAAGAGTACAGAGGTCAAAGGAAAATGTAATTTGAAGGAGAAAATTTTGGACTGTGGTCAGATTGTATGGAGCTTAGCGTTTGGCTCCTCCTCTTCACCAGCAGGATGGAAGTTGTGGCCACGTTCCAGGCAACAAGCATCTGGATCTCTTGGGTCTTGGCTGCTTCTAGCAACAGGACTTAGTGATGGTCACGTCAAAATATGGGAAGTGCATACAGGTAAATTGCATGCACTAAATAGCTTTTATCTGCATACTTTGTTACTTATCAGTGATTGCTTTTCTGTATTGCAGCAGCATTTTGACTGTGTTGCAGTGTTCATAAACACAGTATTTTTACACGTTCTATGCTTTGTCTTTACTGTCAGAAGGAAAGGAACTAATTAACTCTATCACTACCACAGGTCGTTTGCTCTTCAATTTATCTGGGCACCAAGATGTGGTAAGAGACTTGAGCTTTACTACAAATGGCAGCCTGACCCTTGTCACTGCATCCCGAGATAAGACTCTGCGTATCTGGGACTTAAAAAAAGATGGTAAGATTTTTAAATTTGCAAGAGTATTTTATATGCTAGAATAAACTGAGAGGAAAATATGCTCCACAGGGCCAGTATTTTTTTCTAGAATCAAAAACTAATGTTTTCTAAATCAACTAATTAATCTGGTAAATCCAATGTAGAATCTGCCTCGGATAGTGTTTCTTGGTTCTTCTCAAGCTTTATTCCTGCTTGCAAAAATAATTTCTTCTTTGTCAGTGGATCAGTAGTTTCTACAAATGCTTCCACTCAAAAAATGACTTTAAAGTGGTTGTAAACCCTTAAATATACCCAGTGAAGTGACTAGTCTCAGGTGATACTCAGAGGTTAAACAAATCATGCTATATAAGTTGTACCGGTTTTTCTGGAGCCCATCTTTCCTCTACAGCCTTCTACAACACACAGAATGTACACAGAATCTGTCAGCATCTCCTTTTTTTTTTTTTTTACAAATTCTTTATATAGAACAGAAAAATAATTGAAAAGTCCATCAATTCCATCGGAACAGATATCAGAATATAATAATGAAATAACATAGAATACGCCTCTAGAGACACTGGGATCCCTCATAGGACAGAACCATTCAGGGAGCCCACCACATGCAAAGTCAGTGGGACACTGCTGCACATTTTTTTTATCTTAAATAAAGTCGAGTGGAAATAGTCAAGAAAGAGAGAGCAGAAGAAAAGAGAGAAACAGAGAGAGGAAAAAAAAGAGGGGGGGATTTGGGAGAATCAGGGTGAACTTCCAGAAGGACCCATCACAAATAGAGACTTCCCTTTCTCTGAATATATGAACATGTTCCATAGCCTCCAGGTTTTGGAGTATATCTCATGTTTATTTTGGTGTGATAGCACCAGATCTTCCATTTGGTTCAATTCCTCTACTTTATGGAGCCAGAGATACAGGACTTGGCTGCATTTAAAAGATGGTGTAGGATGAACCTTTTGTGTATATTGGTGACATGTAAAAGAAAGAAGGCTGAATCTTCAGGGACTGAATAATCCGTAAATTTTTGCGACAGACCGCTTTCCAGTAGTGTACCAGCTTAGGACATGACCAAATCACACGGAGGAGCTTTCCCACATCTTCTTGACAACACCAGCATTTGTCCGAAATAGTTGTAGAGAATCTGTAAATTTGCAAAGAGGTTCTGTACCAATGGGTCAGAATTTTTAAATTGTTCTCTTGGATTCTTGTGCCTGTCAGCATCTCCTAGCAGCAGAAAGCATAGCTGTGGATCTGAATTCATACACTGCACAGCTAAGGGAGAAGAGCTTTGAGCCTGATTGGAAGGGACACACCCCCTTCTTCTACTACATAGGAGCCATGCAGAGCTGATGATGTGAATCACAGGCTGTGTGCTGCAGCTCTCTTCCTCCATCACCTTTTTATCTCTTGGTGTCAGAAAAACTTGTCAGAAGTGATGCGTGCTGATAACAGAGGAACTAGACAGCAGAGGGAAATGTAACTCAGTGCTTAGGAAAGAACAGTAAACACTACAGAAATATGTGCTTTGTTCGTATTCCATATCTGAGGTTTACAATAACGTTAAAGCTGATCTCCAGGTTTTTGTCACATTTAAATAGTTTGTTTTAGACCAAGGTGCAGCTGTTCTCAGGGCTGTATAAACTATATGTAGCCCCAGCAACTTACAGTATACAGCACTGTGTTCCAGCAGTGGGACAAGACCTTCCTGTTCCACTCTTGGAACAAAATTGAGTTGAGCTGAGCGGAACTCAGCCTTTCACGGGGAGCTTTGTCTTCTACAAATGAATACAAAGCTTCCTCTGATTGGCTTTGAGGTAGAGATCATGATGTAATCGGCCCGCCTCTCCACTTCAGAGGAAGCTTTCAGTTCATTTTTAGATAGTACTTGATTGTGTGAAATGCATCAACAGTTTGTATGTTCTTGCACTGTGTGTCAGACACTGGTGAAACAAACCTTGCTCAGATCGTATCCTGTGGTGGTGTGCAACTGTTTGTTTCCTTTTCTCTTCATTTATAGAAGTACAAAGCTCCCTGTGAAAGGCTGATCTTTGCTCAGCACGACTCAATTTTGTCCTGGGTGTGGGACTGGAAGGTCTTGTCCCACTTCCGGAACACAGTGATGTATACTGTATGTAGCTGAGGCTACATACAGTTTATGCAGCACCAAAAGCTGTTCCTGAAGATCAGCTTTACGTATACCCATGTCAATGTTCAAAGTACCAAAGTCACTGATGTAACAGATAACTGACCGCATGTATTCGGTTATGTCCAGTTACAGAACCTTGAAAAAGTATTCATACCCCTTGAAATTTTCAACATTATGTCATATTACAACCAAAAACGTAAATGTATTTTATTGGGATTTTATGTGCTAGACCAACACAAAGTGGCACATAATTGTGAAGTGGAAGGAAAATGATAAATGGTTTACAACATTTTTTACAAATAAATATCTGAAAAATGTGGCATGCATTTGTATTCCGCCCCCTTTACTCTGATACCCCTAACTAAAATATAGTGGCACCAATTGTCTTCAGAAGTCACCTAATTAGTAAATAGAGTCCACCTGTGTGTAATTTAATCTCAATATAAATACAGCTGTTCTGTGAAGCCCTCGGAGGTTTGTTAGAGAATTATTATTATTATTATTATACAGTATTTATATAGCGCCAAAAGGTTTGCTCAGCACTGTACATTATAGTGGGGGACAGTACATGAGACAGAACAGTAACAAAACAATACACTAGGAGTTCGAGGGCCCTGCTCTTTCGAGCTTACAATCTATGACGAAGGGGATAGTGGCACAGGAGGAAGTGGTTGTGGGGGATGGAGTGGTAGGAGGAGATCGGCAGTTAGGTGAGGGTGGGGTAGGCTTCCCTGAAGAGATGGGTTTTCAGGGTGCGCCTAAAGGTGAGGAGGGTAGGTGACAGTCTGATGGATTGGGGTAGTGAATTCCAGAGGATGGGGGAAGTCCTGGAGAAGTCCTGCAGTCTGGCGTGGGAGGTGGAGACCAGGGAGCTAGAAAGTAGGAGGTCTTGTGAGGAGCGAAGATTACGGGTTGGGTGGTATTTGGGTATCAGGTCGGTGAGGTAGTTTGGGGCAGCGTGATGAATGGCTTTGTATGTCAGTGTTAGCAGTTTGAATTTGATGCGTTGGGCAATCGGGAGCCAGTGGAGGGAATGACAGAGGGGGGTGGCAGAAGAGGAACGGTTGGTAAAGTGGATAAGTCTGGCCGCTGAGTTCAGGATTGACTGAAGCGGGGATAGTCTGTGATGAGGTAGGCCGGTGAGGAGGGAGTTGCAGTAGTCCAGGCGTGAGATAATGAAGGATGAACGAGTGAACGAGTTGTTTAGTAGTGTCTGGGGTTAGGAACGTACGTATTTTGGAGATGTCACGGAGGTGGAGCCTGCATGAGCTTGCTAGCAATTGGACATGGGGTTGGAAGGACAGATTTGAATCTAGAGTGACACCTAGGACTTTGGCTTGTGGGGTGGGACTAATGGTGGCATTGTTGGTCGTGATGGAGAGGGTGGGGGGGGGGGGGGGGGGCGGGGGGGAAAAATTAGGAGCTCGGTTTTTGAAAGGTTCAGTTTGAGGAACTGGAGCGACATCCAGTCTGATATGTCATTCAGCAGGTGGGTGATACGGGCTGAGACTGAAGGGGTGAGTTGAGGGGTGGAGAGGTAAATTTTCGTGTCATCGGTGTAGAGGTGATAGTTGAAGCCATGGGAGTGTATCAGTTTGCCAAGGGAGGAAGTGTAGATGGAGAAGAGAGGGGGCCCGAGGACAGAACATTAGTGAACTAACAGCATCATGAAGGCCAAGTAACACACCAGACAGGTCAGGGATAAAGTTGTGGAGACGTTTAAAGCAGAGTTAGGTTATAAAAAAAAAATCCCAAGCTTTCACATCTCATGGAGCACTGTTAAATCCATCATCTGAAAATAGAGTATGGCACAACTGCAAACCTATAAGACATGGCCATCCAAGTAAACTGACAGGCCGGGCAAGGAGAGTATTAATCAGAGAAGCGGCCAAGAGGCCCATGGTAACTCTGGAGAAGCTGCAGAGATCCACAGCTCAGGTGGGAGAATCTGTCCACAGGACAACTATTAGTCTTGCACTCCACAAATCTGTCCTTTATGGAAGAGTGGCACGAAGAAAGCCATTGTTGAAAGAAAGGTTCACCTTCCAGCAGGACAACGACCCTAAACATACAGCCAGAGCTACAATGGAATGGTTTAGATCAAAGCATATTCATGTGTTAGAATGGCCCAGTCAAAGTGCAGACCTAAATCCAATTGAGAATCTGTGGCAAGACTTAAAAATTGCTGTTCACAGACACTCTCCATCCAATCTGACAGAGCTTGAGCTATTTTGCAAAGACGAATGGGCAAAAAATGTCCCTGTCTAGATGTGCAAAGCTGGTAGAGACATTCCCAAAAAAGTTGCAGTTGCAATTGCAGCGAAAGGTGGTTCTGCAAAGTACTGACTCCGGCGGGCTGAATACAAATGCATGCCACACTTTTCAGATCTTTATTTGTAAAGAATTTTGAAAACCATTTCTCATTTTCTTTCCACTTCATAATTATGTGCCACTTTGTGTTGGTCTATCGCATAAAATCCCAATAAAAAACATTTACATTTTTGGTTGTAACATGACAAAATGTGGAAAATGTCAAGGTGTATGAATACTTTTCAAGGCATTGTATAAGGCTGGTATAGCAAAGAATCGCCCTCCCTTAAAATAATCACATTTTGCTGCTTTGCAGCCTGAAATGAGAACAGACACAGTTTTTGCTTTATCCAGCTCTATAAGTGCAACCGATAACATCCAAGTGAAAGTCATAACACCAACATGTCAGAAAATTCAAAAACAGAATGACTGAGTTGAAAAAGGATCACCCCCTTGTCAGTATTTTGCTGAACCACCTTTTGCTTTAATTACAGCCTTTAGTATGTTGGGATATGTCTCTACTAACTCTGCACATCTCAACTTTGCAATATTTGCCCACACTTTGCAGAACTGGTCAAGATTAGTTAAATTTCATAGTGACCGTTTGTGGACTGCAGTCTTCAAGTCATTCCACAGATTTTCAATGGTGTTTAAATCTGGGCTCTGACTAGGCCATGCAAGGGTAATCACCTTCTTCACCTTGAACCACCATGCGGTCATTTTTTGGTGGGTACTTTGGGTCATTGTCGTGTTGGTCCTCTGGCAGAGGGCAGCAGGCTTTTTCTCAAGAATGTGATGGTGTTTTTCCCATCCATTTTTCCTTTTATCCTGACAAGTGCTCCAGTCCCTGCTGAATAGAAACAACCCCATAACAGGATATGTCCACTTCCATGCTTTACTATAGGAATGGTGTTATTTGGATGGTGAATTGTATTGGATTTCTACCAGACATATCATTTAGTATTGAGGTCAGATCATTCAATTTTAGTCTCATTACCATAACCCCTTTTTCTATGTGGCCTCAGAATCTTCAAGGTGTGTTTTGGCAGAGCTCAGTGGTCATATGTGGCCTTTCTTGATGAGTGGCTTTTTTTTTTGCAACCCTCCGATACATGCTACATTTGTGGAGAATTTGTGATATTGTTGTCACATGCACACAACTCTTTGTCATAAATTCCTGCAACTTCTTCAGAGGTGTTGTAGGCCTCTTGGTAGCTTCTCTGACCAGTTTACTCCTGGCTCTGTCCAGTTCCTGATCCAGGGAGGGTCTGTGTTCTACCAGATACCTTCCACTTCTTAATAATAGACTTTACTGTGCTTCTAGGCATTGATAAAGCCTTTTGCATTTTTATTTTATCCACCCCCTGACTTGTTCCTGTCCACAACTGTATCCCAGAGATCTTTTGACAGTGCCCATAGTTCACTTGCACTGCAAGGGAAAATTCTCCAGAAAAGCTCTTTTCATGCTGAGCTAATCAAAATGACCACAGCTGATCAGCTGAAAGTCAAATGGCTTTGTGTGAGAAGGTGATTAGCTACACTTGATTGACTTTACAAGTCATTTGTAGGAGGAAATGATCCCTTTTCCAACTCCTTGGTTCTATTTTTAATTTTTTTTCTGACCTATTGGTTTCATATCTTTTACTTGGATGTTATAATTTGCTTGGATGTTATAAAATACAGCTGGATAAAACAAAAACTGTGTCTGTCTTCATTTCAGGCTGCAAAGCAACAAAATGTTATGTTCAAGGGGGTGATTCTTTTCCATACCCACTGCATATACTTATGCTAGTATAATTACCTGAAATGTATATTTATTTGTATAGTTGCTATTCTATTCACATAGAATATACAAAAAGATTGCTGTCATTCTTTCTGGTTTATATACAGAACACACAGGTTCAGGTTGAAGTCACACAGTCATTGTTTGCAGTCCAGGGTGTGTGAATTTCTGAAATAGTTCAGCATCCGTAACTATGCTTTCAGGAAAGTACACACCCAGTTGTCATGTAGAACTGGAATTGCAACTAGTTAAAACAGCACAAAGACTGATATACGTAACAAGATAGCTTTGCATTGAATTTTAATAATGAATGGGCATTTACTCAACTGTGTCATCAACTGCTAAGGTTAATTACACACACATGCACAATATACTCTGTTAAACCATGCTGTTTTTGTCACTACAGTGATTTATATAAAAGTCTCAGGGAAAATGACTGCCATACTTAGGCCTCCTTTACACCTGCTGTTGTGAGGGAAGGGGAGCCAGTAAAAAAAAAAGCAAAAACGAAAAAACCCAGGTGAACCATGTTTTGTACTCCCACCCACCATTAAGCTGCAAAGGCAGCGGACAGGGGTGTACACATGCCATGGTCGCAGTGCTTTGGATGTGGTAAAAAACAATCCCCTCTGTTGCTTTTACCGGACACTACCATCTGCTGAATTTGGTGGTCACAGACAGCATTAAAAATCCTATCCAAAATTTAAAAAGGAATTGACCAATGTTCTACTTTTCTGGTCTCAAAAGCTTGTGTACATTCTACCCCTTTATGGTAACTTCAGAATGCTGGAAGCTGATAAAATTTGCAGGTTTTTTTTTTTTTTCGTCTGTAAAAACACACCTCTGTGACTAGGCTCAGATGGAAACAACAATTCACTGACTCTATGTAGCATAGAAGTCCTAAGGTAGAGAAGCCAAACTCATTAACTTTCATTAGGTGTCAGGCCAGAACCTGGGCAGGCACAAGATTTTTTTTATGTAGAACTAACATGTTCCAGCTATTTTTTGGTAAGGTCTGATTGTCTGTTTCTGTGTTTTTAGGTAAATTGATCCAGGTACTATCTGGACACATCCAGTGGGTGTACTGCTGCTCCATCTCGCCAGACTGCACTGCAGCATGCTGTGTTCTGCTGCAGGGGAGAGCTCGGTGAGATACCACATAGATTATTTCTTTTCTTTCCGCAATCGGTATACACAGCCATCACTATTAGTATATTAAGTCAAATAATTCTGAACTGTTACAATTTAACAACTAATATTTGCAGAGTCACGTGTGATTTCTGCTGGGGCTTAAAGTAGTCAAAACTAACTTTTTTTATTTTTTCATTTTGGATGGAGCAAGGTAGGTTTATAACCCGTTAGTTTTTTTTTTTTTTCCCTTTCTGTCCCATTTTGGAGATTTACCTTCACTTCTTGTACCATAGCAAACCAGGAACTGAGAGGAAATTCCTTCAAGTTAAGGGAATCCCTTTGGGACCCCCAGGTTTCACTTTCAATGATAATGGTAAACAGGAAAAATAGAGAGGGTGAATCTCCCTAACATAGACAGCAGAAGCTGAAAGGGGTTCTAATCTCTCACCATTGTATCCAAAATTTAATAAAAGGTTTTACCTTAAGTTACACTTTAAAAGGCCTATGAAAGAGCTTAGAAGAATGGGACCCAGTGCATCTGCTAGTAAGGATCTACAGTATTTGTTAGAAGATTATATAAAAGATCCCACGAGCAACCAAACACACACAACCGTTTTTTAAAATATAGCACAAATAAACACTCCAAATAAAGTCGCTTACCCCTGCACATACTCATCAATGTGTCTAAAAACTAAACCAACAAATACCATATTTTTCGCTCCATAAGACGCGCCTAGGTTTTAGAGGGGGAAAACAAGAAAAAAATATTTTGAACCAATGGATTGCAGACATAGTACAGGAGATGACCAGAGACTGCGGACACAGTACAGGAGATGACCAGAGACTGCGGACAGTACAGGGATGACCAGAGACTGAGGACACAGTACAGGAGATGACCAGAGACTGCGGACAGTACAGGGATGACCAGAGACTGCGGACACCGTACAGGAGATGATCAGAGACTGCGGACATAGTACAGGAGATGATCAGAGACTGCGGACATGGTACAGGAGATGATCAGAGACTGCGGACATGGTACAGGAGATGATCAGAGACTGCGGACATGGTACAGGAGATGATCAGAGACTGCGGACATGGTACAGGAGATGATCAGAGACTGCGGACATGGTACAGGAGATGATCAGAGACTGCGGACATGGTACAGGAGATGATCAGAGACTGCGGACATGGTACAGGAGATGATCAGAGACTGCGGACATGGTACAGGAGATGATCAGAGACTGCGGACATGGTACAGGAGATGATCAGAGACTGCGGACATGGTACAGGAGATGATCAGAGACTGCGGACATGGTACAGGAGATGATCAGAGACTGCGGACATGGTACAGGAGATGATCAGAGACTGCGGACATGGTACAGGAGATGATCAGAGACTGCGGACATGGTACAGGAGATGATCAGAGACTGAAGACATAGTACAGGAGATGACCAGAGACTGCGGACCTTTGGGGAGGGGGGGGGGGTGCGGGTACCCAAATTTGACAGGCACCCGCTCCCACTTCCGCGGAGTTGTCTTCCCCGTAGTCTTGTGGGACACCTGACTGATCCCAGGGGACTACAGGTGGCCATTCGCAAAGCGCAGCACTTCTTGCGCAGGCACAGTAGGCACATGGCTGTTAAGCCACAAGCTGTCACAGCCAGGTACCCACACTGAAGATACCAGGGAGAGAAGACAGCCAGTGAAAGTAGGACACTGCTGAACTGAGGAACAGGTTCTTCTGCACAGTAGAGCCGAGCGGCCGGCCCAGTACTCTAACACTGCGTCGGCAGGGATACCGGTCCGGCCGCTCCATAAGACTCACAGAAATCCTCCCCCATTTTTTGGGGGGAAAAAGTGCATCTTATGGAGCGAAAAATACAGTAAGTGCATTTAGTTCTTCCCACATAAATATAACCACAGATTTCTTTGTACCCTGGCATGCACTACTTTTTCTGTTGGTTAGAAAATCACCACCTTTATTTGTCTATCCTACTTGGTCTATGTATCTTCAGAACTGATCTGTTTCTACACTCTACATAATACAATTGCTAGAGTTGTTCATGTTGTTCAAGAGTTTGACTAGATATATACTATATACACTGCTCAAAAAAAATAAAGGAACACTTTTTAATCAGAGTATAGCATCAAGTCAGTTAAACTCCTGGGATATTGATCTGGTCAGTTAAGTAGCAGTGGAGGTTGTTATTCAGTTTTAGCTGCTTTGGAGTTAATGAAATTAACAATAGGTACACTAGATGGGCAACAATGAGACAACCCCCAAACCATGAATGGTTTTACTGGTGGAGGCCACTGCCATTTTTTTCCCTACTCATCTTTTCTGACTGTTTTTCACTAGTTTTGCATTTGGCTAGGGTCAATGTCACTACTGGTATGTCTCAATAAAGCGAACCTATCACCTAAAAAAATCATCACATAGGGGATGTCAGGGCTCCCAGGTATGACCAGAGGTGTGTGACTGATGCAGGGAAACGCAGACTTCAGATATGTGATAAACAATACAATTTATTAACACTAACAATTACAAACATAAACGCAGTGCAATACTAAAACATAATACAGTGCAAACAAACCAAACCAACCACCCACAGATAACAGTATATACAAGCAAGCGTCGTCAGGCAGGCCGGGTCAATATCAATAGGGCAGGTAGGTACAGGGGGAGCAAGCAGAGAATGGTCGGGGTCACAGGCCAGGTTCAGCAGGTAGCAAGCAGCGTAGTACAGAGGGTCAAGCAGAGAGATGGTCAGGGTCACAAGCCAGGGATCAGGACAGGTAGCAGAGAATCAGACAGCAACAGAGAGCAGGAACAGGATACAGGGCCAAGAGAAACACAACACCAAGGCAGAGTCTGTGGGTCTGGCCATCCCTTAAATACCCCAGCATCATCAGTTACAGGTGTTAGCTGGCTGCAAAGTTGAGTCTCTGATTGCAGGGAACACCCGCTGGCCAGCCCTGGTACTGCAGATCAAAAGGCAGGTGAGTCCCACCATTGCTGGCCAGTCCATTCCTAACAGTACCCCCCCTCAAGGAGCGGCCTCAGGACGCTCCAAACAGTCCTAGCTGGGCAAAATGTTCCACCGCCGGGTCTGGCAACTGGCGGGATATCAAAGACTGGCACACCGGGCAGGACTCCGGGCAGCGGCACACCGGGCTGGACTCCGGGCAGAGGCACACCGGGCAGAGGCACACGGGCAGAGGCACACCGGGCAGGACTCCGGGCAGAGGCACATCGGGCAGGACTCCGGGCAGAGGCACATCGGGCAGGACTCCGGGCAGAGGCACATCGGGCAGGACTCCGGGCAGAGGCACATCGGGCAGGACTCCGGGCAGAGGCACATCGGGCAGGACTCCGGGCAGAGGCACATCGGGCAGGACTCCGGGCAGAGGCACATCGGGCAGGATTCCGGGCAGAGGCACATCGGGCAGGACTCCGGGCAGAGGCACATCGGATTACCAGGCGAAGCAGCAGGCAGCGGGCCACCAGGCGGGGGCAGCAGGCACCAGGCCCCCGGGCGGATCAGCAGGCACCGGGCCCCGGGCGGGGCTACAGGCACCGGGCCCCCGGGCGGGGCTACAGGCACCGGGCCCCGGGCGGAGCAGCAGGCACCGGGCCCCCGGGCGGAGCAGCAGGCACCGGGCCCCCGGGCGGAGCAGCAGCAGGCACCGGGCCCCCGGGCGGAGCAGCAGGCAGCCGGGCCCCGGGCGGAGCAGCAGGCACCGGGCCCCCGGGCGGAGCAGCAGGCACCGGGCCCCCGGGCGGAGCAGCAGCCACCGGGCCCCGGGCGGGGCCTACAGGCACCGGGCCCCGGGCGGGGCTACAGGCACCGGGCCCCGGGCGGGGCTACAGGCACCGGGCCCCGGGCGGGGCTGCAGGCCCCGGGCCCCCGGGCCGGGGCGGCGGGCACCGGGCCCCGGGCGGGGCGGCGGGCACCGGGCCCCCGGGCGGGGCGGCGGGCACCGGGCCCCCAGGCGGGGGCGACGGGCAATCGTGCCCCAGGCGGGGCGACGGGCATCGTGCCCCCCAGGCGGAGCGGGCGGGCGCCGGACCCCCAGGCGGAGCGACAGGTCTCGGGCCCTCAGGCGGAGCGCGACGGGCGCCGGACCTCCAGAAGGAGCGACAGGTCTCGGGCCCTCAGGCGGAGCGGCGGGCGCCGGACCCCCGGCGGAGCGACAGGTCTCGGGCCCTCAGGCGGAGCGGCGGGCGCCGGACCCCCAGGCGGAGCGACAGGTCTCGGGCCCTCAGGCGGAGCGGCGGGCGCCGGACCCCCAGGAGGAGCGACAGGTCTCGGGCCCTCAGGCGGAGCGGCGGGCGCCGGACCCCCAGGCGGGAGCGACAGGTCTCGGGCCCCTCAGGCGGAGCAGCAGGCGCCGGACCCCCCAGGCGGAGCGACAGGTCTCGGGCCCTCAGGCGGAGCGGCGGGCGCCGGACCCCCAGGAGGAGCGACAGGTCTCGGGCCCTCAGGCGGAGCGGCGGGGCGCAGGACCCCCAGGAGGAGCGACAGGTCTCGGGCCCCAGGCGGAGCGGCGGGCACGAGACACCAGGCACCGACAGTGGGCTCCGAGTCAACTGGTATGACGCAGGCACTGGGTCAGACATTGGATGGTCTGGCTGGACAGCGGGGCATCGGGTCACCAGGCATTCAGGTCATTTGGCTCGACAGCGGGGCAAACCGCGTCATATGGCAAGGCAGTGGGCTCCGAGTCAACTGGTATGACCGCGGGCACTGGGTCAGACATTGGATCGTCTGCCGGACAGCGGGATCGGGTCACCAGGCATCAGGTCATTTGGCTCGACCGCGGGCACCAGCGTCATCTGGCAAGGCCGTGGGCTCCGAGTCAACTGGCATGACCGCGGGCACCGGGGCAGACATTGAATCGTCTGGCTGGACAGCGGGCATCGGGTCACCAGGCATCAGGTCATTTGGCTCGACCGCGGGCACCGCGTCATCTGGCAAGGCAGTGGGCTCCGAGTCAACTGGTATGACCGCGGGC